GGTGTCTTTTGGTGGGTTGCGAGTGGGCTCCTGCCACCGCCGTCTAACACGGCGGTTGGGAAAATGAATGACGTCACGTACCGTCATTGCATCGTGTACCGGATGAAACTCGCACGCGGGATGCTGCAGTGCGCGCGATGTCGCATGAGATGTCACCGAAGAAGGCAACCGAGACGCCAATTGTTGTGCTCAACAGCATATTTTGCGTGCGGCTCTCTGCTGGGTGCGGTGCAGCGGATGGTCCAGCACCTCCGCCGTCACCTCATCCGCTTCCTGGAAATGCGGGATCTCCCAGTGGAGGGGCAGTGCAGTTTTTTGGGATTCTGCGGCATATTTGACTGCAAGTCTGCGGGCGTGAATGGAGATGATTGTGACATGGACAGGCCCTGGGAGGAAGCTGTGGAGCAGGGTTCCCCAAAGTTCACGGGCGGAGACGCTTGTGGGGCGCCCCAGACCCTCTGCAGGTGCGGGAGTGACGGGTACTTGAGGCCTGGCTACCCCAACGATGCTGCCGCTGCGGGGCTGATTCGAGGAGAAGGAGGAAAAGTCAGGATGGCGACAGCGCAGACAATACCGAAGCGGGGGCATTGGAAGTGTTTCTGGACCGCTACTTTCTCTGCAGCGTCGCAGTGGCGTTAGTGTGGCCCTGTAACTCGGCGGCGTAGCACCCATCGAGGCGTCTTTGTAAGAGCAGGTATCCTTTGTGCCGTTTTTTTTTTCCTTTGCTTCCTTGCGTGTAACTTTATGGGAGGAGCCGGGGCTGCCCCTGAGCTTCCCTTTTTTGGTGGAGGGGAGTCGAGAAGGCGGTCTCCTGCCGATGTCATTTCTCCACTTCCTCCTTCTCCACACGCGCATACATCTTGGTTTTTCCGTTGCTAGTTGCGTTACGCTTTTTTTTTTTTTTGCGGTCGTTTCTTTATGTTTTTGTGCGTAGCGCACCCATCGCATGTTCACCGACTCCGCCGCGCGCACCTCACTCGCCTTTGAGGACGCCCTCCCTGACGAACCGCAGCTCAACGTCAAGCGACGCGAAATATGCCAGGCCTTTCAGCACGGCAAGTGCCGCCACGGCGCGGCCTGCCCAGAGCGGCATGTTATCTCGCAGTTCAAGACGATGCGTCTGGAGGTGTGTCAGCACTGGCTGCGTGGTGCCTGCGTCAATGGTGAGAACTGTCTGTACCTGCACGAGTATGATGACCGGTATGTGCCGGTGTGTGCTTTCTACCAGCGCCTAGGCGACTGCACGAACCCGGAGTGTCCCTTTCAGCACGTCATAAAGGTGGAGAAGCAACCGGAGTGTGCCGCTTACCGCCGTGGTTTCTGTCCACTTGGGCTGCAGTGCCATCTCCGACACGTGTTTCGCCCGGCATGCCCGTTCTACATGGCGGGTTTTTGCCCACTAGGCCCAAGGTGCACCATGGGGCATCCCATTCAAGAGCTGTACAACCGTAATAGTGTGTCGGAGCGCCTGCGACAACGCATGCTGATTGAGCGCGCGGATGACCCAACCTTCAATAAGAACGCCACGTGCTACCGTTGCTTTGACCCTGGTCACTTGTCCCCAAACTGTCCAGGCGTGCAGAGCGGCCTCCTTCGACAGATGCTCATGACAGTGCAGGAGCCAGGAGAGCAGCTTTATTTTCAGAGCGACGGGCGGTCTTCACGCAAGTGTTGTTTCTTTTGCGGAGAGGAGGGTCATGAGGTGCGGGATTGCCCGAAGAAGCCAAAGAGTCATCAGTGGCACGGCAACAGGCGTTCATAGGTGGCAAGAAGTTGGGCAGGCAGTGGTCATGCTGGCGTGCCACGACCTCTCATCTTTAACACAATCATTCAGCTATACACATACATGCGTACATGCACATGCATGCTCGCTCAGAAACGCTGATGCCAGTGTAAGTAATTTGCCTAATTTATTTGTTTTGTGTTTCCGTTGTTTGACGTATTCGTGTGTCCTGTTCCTTTGCTTCGCGTTTTAGACCTATAAATAGATGAGAGCGTCTCGTGTCTACTGGGGTCGACTGCGGCGGCGCGCGCATGGCAGCGGAAATTTTTTGATGCAGCAGCTGCCAGGGGAAAGGGCGGCGACGCCCACCACATTTTCTCTGACTGATGCGGAGAAGGCGACCAATGCGCTTGCACACCGGCTGTTAGAGAGGCACCGGCAGCGCCACGCGGCACACTTGCATGAGGAGGTCACCGCAAGTTGTGGCAATATTGCACTGGTGGTTGCCTCTCATCAGCCGCAGGAGGAAATGGAGGAAGGGCCGTTAAGGAAGGCCCTGGCGCGGCACAAGAGGCGGCACACCGTGGATGCTCTCGCGGGGTACGGGAAAACTGCTGTCCTGGCGAACTTGGCGCATAGCATGGATGCCCGGTTGGCTGAGACACGGGATCTCGTGGAGGCCACCGAGCGGGAGTGGGAAACGCTGACGACTCGAAACAAGATGTCAGTTGCCTGCACGGAGGCCGGCAACCGACCCGTCGTGCGTGCGTGGGTTCGGTATTCCCGCACCAACTCTTCGGTGTCTTTCCCCACGAAATTCACCGAGCGCTTTACGCCATTCGATGCGGTGATGCAGCGGTACTGCACTGTGGTGCCACATCGTGGACCTCGTGTTGCGACGGTGGATGCCGCGTTGGGATGGCGGGTGAACATGCCTGCGAGCCTGACGCAACGCGGTGCTCTGCGTTGCGTGTTAGCACGAAAAGAGCAGCTGAGCCGCCAAAATGAGTGGCGTCGAATTCGGGGACGTCAGCTCCCGTTAGGAACCGACGGTGGTGGTGTTGGTACAACCATGCAGGATGAGAAGGGGAGACAAGTGGAGAGCGCATCGGCGGGTCGTGTTTTTGGCGGCCGGCCCTTTGCCTCTCCTGTGTTTCGCCGCTACTGCCTACAGTTCGGCAGTAGTACACTGCAGCGGATGGCATTCCTGACGGACCCCGCTTTGTACTTTGTGTTGTGTAACTGGAGCTTAACCGGCACGGAGTCTTTGCTGGAGGTGCGCCAGAAGGCAGAAGCGCTGAGCCACCAGTATGCGTGTCCGACGCCCCTGTCCTGAGTCCAGACCACCTAACGTATATATATATGCATACACATGTGCGCGTGTCCATGGGGAATTTGTTTCTCTGGTGCCGTGCCTCCCACACTTACTTTCACTCTGCGGGTGTGGGGAAGTGTGGATGGGCGCATGGCTGCTGCCTGAGTGTCCCTCCACAGGGCCCCTTGCACTGCTAGGGCAACCTTTTGGTGATGATAGATGCAGGACATTTACACCCCGATAGAGTCTTAACGCATGCTCTTCGCTCCCTTCATATAATATATATATATATATATATCGTTTTTCATTTTGCTCTCGTATAGACGTTTCCATGGAGAGTGGGTGGGAATACGTGCATGCACGCAATAGAGGAAAGAACCATGATGGTCCCATTCTGTTTATATGCTTCTGTCTCCTGCCGTACACACTCATAGGGAGAGCGAGTGAGAGGAGGGGGACCCCGTTTTTATGTGCCAGGGGAGTTGAGGCGCTGTGATTTGATGGCTGCTGGTTTGTGGGGATTCGTAACGCCTTTTTGCTTGTATATCTGCGTGTATGTATGTGTGTTTGCTATCGCGAAGAAATCATTTTCTTTTTACTTCCTTTTATTGGGGTGTCTGTTGCTGGTGGGCTCCACATTACGCGAGGGACTGCCGCGCAACGGCACGCTACAAGCGGGGCAAACAAAACAAAAAAGCAACGTTTGCAGCTCAACGTATTTATTGACTGCGGCAATGTTCTTACACGCCGCACAAGCGCCGCGTGGCGGCTTCCCGGGATGCCCCGCCCAGAAGGAGGATCTCCGCATCCGCGCCTCTATAGAGCGCATCGACCAGCTATTGAGCCGTGGACGCGAGCTTCTTCACGGCAACGACGGACGGCCCCGGGATGCCACCTCGCCCGTAAAGGTGGAAACGCGGAAGCCGACTGCACCGCGTGTTGGGTCCGCTGTCCTCAGGCGGAGTCCGGCGTCCGGGCAAGACAACGGCATCGCCGCCATACAGCGCAGATGGGGAGACGGAGTGTCACGCAGACGTGCCGTGGAGGTGGCCTGCTTGGATAAACATTCCCCTGGAAGCCTGAAAGCTTCCGATGCAGCGCATCTAGCGACCAAGCATGGGCAAACACTGAAAAAAATGCATGGCGCCGCGCCGGCTGCCGCCGATGCTGGCAACAATGAACTGAAGGGCGTTTCTCTTACGGAGTTTCGCGACCGTATCGGCAGGGAGTTGGTGGAGTACCGCAACCATGGCCTTCTGCGGCGGAGGACAACGGATGGGACCGTGGCGCCGGAGCAGCGGGTGGGACACGTGGGAAGGCGATGCTGGCCGCCGCGGTAGACAAAGAGCGATGCATGTGTCTGTGTGTGTGTGGGGGGTTCCGATCGGTGTGTGCTTGTGCGTCCGCACGTCTACGGACTGCTGTGTCACCCCTATATTTTTGAATTTTTGTTTATGTAAGTATGGGTCATTGATATATATATATATAATATATATATATATATATGTATTCCGCTTTACTCTGCGGCGTCTGAGATTCCCCCCTTGGGCGGCTGTCGCTTTCTTCCCTCCACAACGGGGCCTCCCGGTCCCTCTCATGTCGTGTGCACGGGACCCCGCGCGCAGGTCCACACGTGCATCGTGGAGCCTGAAGGTTGTGGGCATGGACGTGTGTGTGGATGTCTCGCTCACTCTCGTCTGCATGTAGATTTCTCTGAACGCGCGTTAGAGATTGCCTCTGCATTTACCCGTATACACACAAGCTGCGTAAGCATTTTCACTAGGTAAGTAAGCACGATGATGTACGATGGTATTTCCTCTGGCAGGTCGTCGGGGCAGAGCCTGCAGCAACGCGAATTTGAGGACATCCAACACTCCATGAAACGCATTGAGAAGCTGCTGCGCCGCGGCCAGCATCTCCTGTACGAGGAGGAAGGCAAGGAGCCGGTGCCAGCCCACCTCGCCGCGAGCAGGGGAGCCGGTGCACGACCTCATGGGAAACCAGCCCCAGGCGACGCCGCGGGGCAGCCGCAGCGATTGGGTACGAAAAGGGACCCGGCTGCTCAAGTAGCGCAAGGCAAAGCGGTGAAGGAAGAGCAGCGCCGCACGATGGCCACAGCGCCGCATACACGCCAGCGGGAACGCGTCGCCAATGCGAGGCTGGAAGCAGAAACGGGCCCGGACGTGCGGCGTCGAGGGGCATCACCACTCGGTCACGGCGGGCGCCGCCCCACGAGCCACCGCCACAGCGCGCCAGTGTACGACAAGGAGGAGGAGACGGACAGCGACGATGAGTTCGAGGATATCTCCATCCCTGAGCTTCGCGAACGCATCCGCAGGGAGTTGGAGGCGTACCGCCTCAACCATCACGCGCCTGTGGCGTGGCCCGCACGAGCCGACTCCACCCCGCAGCAGATGAAACGTGTTTCCACGCAGCATAACGAGGCCACGCGAAGCGCAAACGTGGAAATGGCAACACCGCAGGCGAAACCGCAGCCACGTTCTTGGACTGGAGTGACCGCAGCGATAAATCTTCCCAACAACGGGGTCTCCCCACCCGCCGCACCGCGGCCGCAACCACGTGTCAGCCCTGTTCGAGTGAGCAGACACAACCCCCTGCACGCAGACCATGGAGTCCCTGTGTATAAGCGTTTGTATGACGACGCCCAGCGGCTGCAAGCAAAACTGCAACAAATGGCTGCAAGATCGTCAGTGGGGGAATTTGGGTCCTCCTTCAAAAGTACGCCAGGTGAAGAGGCTTCACTGAATAAGCGCCTTTTATTAAAGACTTCAGCGACAGCGGCGCCCGTGCCGATGCTGCAACCCCGCGTTAGGCAAAAAGTGAAGCTAAACGAGCCGCAGCAGAGACAAGGGACCCACCCACCGGCGGCAACAGCGGCGTTGGTGGAGAGGGCCAGAAAGCAGTCAGTGAACGGGGTGGCGCAAAAAGTTTCTACGCATGTGGTTGACTGCCGCTTGATGAAATCGCAGGTCTATCCGAGGCAGGCAGAACGAAGCGCGAAAAAGCAAGATAGAGGCGGAACTGTCCAGGAGAATCACTGCGATTCGGGAGTGCGCACAGATGAGTTTGGCGCCGCAGTTGTGAGGGAGACAAAGAAGAATGGTAAGGAACTGGAAGTGGTGGAGACTGCAGACGCCGCGTGGAAGCCAGAGCCGACGCCCAACGATGCATTGGACGCGAAAACGTCTCCCAAGCATGCGCAGCAGCCTGCGACAACGCATGCGTCGAACGCCGTCTTGCAAAGTTTGGAAATCACTTCGCATGCAACCGACGAATCTTCACTGGCCCAGAGATCCAAAGAATCGCCCCCGACAGCCCAGGTGCAGATTCCTCCATGTGTGCACCCACTCAACTTGGGTGCCCTTCGGAAGTGAGCTTCTTTTTTCTATGTGCTTTATCTCTGCATTTGGCACCCTCTTTGCTTCTACGTTCACGTGCTGCGTCTTCCACTTTTTCAACACAAATTTTCTTCCACGCACATGCAGCCATTGGGTTCCCGTGATTCATTTCTTCTTTTTCTGCTCTTCGTTGGGTGTGTTTGCAGGAGGGGAGAACGGGCCGTTTGCCCGCTTCCAAGCAATGGAAGAAATAGTAAAGGAGGCGCCGACCACCCGGTGTCGCACCCTCTGGGGGACTCCTGCCAAGACCCTCGTGGTCGTGTGGAGAATTGCGGGACCACACATTTTGTGGCCCATGCGCAGGCGAGTCCACTATACACGTCTCCGCGCTTCCGTGCGATGCCGGAGACTTACACGTGCGCTCTCCGGTAATGCGATCTGAAGAAAAAAAAAAGCGTCTTCAAATCAAATACTGTGGCGGTTTCCTCGCACACTGCGCTGAGGCGCTGGGGGGGGGGGGGTGACCCAGCGGAGCCTCGGCCCCGCAGTCCGCCTGGGCGTTGCTGGATTTCCGCTACGCAATGCGCCGCCACTGCAGAATTTCTTTTTTTTTTTTGTTAGGGCGCACCGCCCACTCTCTATGGCAGGCTTTTTTGGGGCCTCTTGAATGCTTCTAGCACCCCTCATTAGCACCGCTTCTTTCGACGCAATTCGCAAATATCACCCTTTTTATCCCGGCTTCAGTGAAACGAGGGGACACCGCATGAAATCTCAAGCCCCAACAAAACGGTTACGCGTCTTTTTCAATTTCCGGGACCAGGCACCGTTTAAGTTCTAAGTGCCCACATCTGTTTGCTGGAGAGGCAAACGTCGTTTCACTTCCGGCGGTGCCGCACTGTGCTGCGTGGAGGCTCCCTATGGGGTCCACGTGTCCCCCTGACGGTGCAGGCAGCCGGAGGATGAGGTCGTACGCGACCACTGCCGCCGCCGCGTGTGTTTTTGTGTGTGCCCTCTCTCACGTTTTACTTCCTCTCTCTCTCTCTCTATGCGTTGCGTAGCTGCAGGCACGCACACGCGATACATTTATATATTGCAGTGCGCGTGGGGGATGTTTTTTGTAGTTGCTGGTGGCAGTGCCACGTGTGGCTGCTGCTGCCTCCTCCGTGGCCATTAAGAGAAGAGAAAGACAAGAACCAGAGGGGGAGGTGCGCTGTGGATCATTATCCCTTCTCTTGCTGGTGCAGGGCACTGCGTGTGGGAGTGTCGCACTGAGTGGTGTTGTGCCCTGTGCGCAGTGGCGGTGCGGTGTGGGTGCCGCGCCATTTGATGGTTGCAGGCTCACTTTTCGTGTGTATGTGGCTGGCGGGGTGGCTGTGGGCCGCTGCTCTGCTCCGTTGTGAGTAGATGCTGGCGCGGTGTGTCTTTCCTCGTTTTGCTTTTTGGGTGCTTTTGGGTTTGTGTACGCCGGTGTGCTGCGATTGTAGCCTGCCTGAGTGGGTGCACGTCGCGTTTTTGTTGTTGTATGCGTGTGGCTCTGTGGAGGAGCGCCAGACTGCAGCCCAGGGGGTTGAGGTGCCGCATTTTGAGGGTGCTGGCTTTGCTCCCCCGCACGACTCCTTTTTCTGCTTCTTTTCTCTCCATCCATCTTTGCTCCCGATGGGATGCCCTGCCGGGGACTGGCGTAGAAGCTTCTTTGCTGGCAACACACACACACACACACTCCCAGCTACGGTGGCAATGCCGGTGCGGGTGCTTATCACGCTTCCCCCCGCGGACGGCCCCGCCGTGACGGAGGCGGTGCTGGTGCAGCAAGTGCTGGAGGAATTTGCGGCCGTGCGCCGTGCCGGGTCCACGGAGGAGATGCCTTGCTCCGTGTCGTCACTGCGCCTGCAGCAGTCTATCGCGCGGCGCTACCCACTTGCGTATGATCGTATTGTGTTGGAGGGGCGCTGGAGCGGCAAGTGGCATTGTTTTGCGGAGGAGGCCGCGGGGTTGCGCTGCTTCGTCTACACACCGCGGGACTACGCTGAGACCCGCGAGCTGTGTGTGCACACGGCGGCGAATGAGTTGCGGTGCTGCCTCCAGGCAGAGAATCCGCGCATGGTGCGGCGTACGGACGACAGCATTGGTGCGCGGCTGCAGGAGTGTCTTCTTCACAGTGAGGCTTTGCACCGTTGCTGCGATGCGTTGCTGCAGGCGGCGCAGGCGGACGCTGCCAAAGCTAGGTGGCGAGCGCCTCCCCAGGCGACAGCGCTGCGGGAGCTCGCACGAAATGCATCTTCCGCTGGGTTCCGGAGTAGTGTCGTGGAACGGCTTCGGCGCGGCGCCGCCAAGGAGGTTGCGGCACAGCTGGCGGCGGGGAGCACGCTGGCGCGGCACGTGTGTGTGACGCGGCTCCGCCGCAACATCGCCTACTGCCTGAAAACGTGGGTGCCGGCGGGATCCGGTACACAAGACACAAAGGATCGCTTCATGGAGGTATTGGGGTGAGGGACGAAGGCGACGGGCCTTGCGCTGGGGAAGGGGGCGGGTTGACGCCGCCGCCCCTGTTGCCAGCACTTCTTTTTGATGTCTTCACAGTACTGTCTTGCTTCTTTTTCTCACAGGGCGTTCAGTTTTTATATTATTGTCATTTTTTTTTTTACTTTTTCACAGGCGGGGGAGGGGGGTTGTGCGCCTTGTTCCCTTTTTCATTCGGGGCGCTGTTCCGCTGTTGTTGTTGTTGTTTTTTTTGCTTTTTGTGTGTTTTTGGGTTTGTTTCCGCCGGTGTGCTGCGATTGTAGCCTGCCTGAGTGGGCGCGCGTCGTGTTGGTGTTGTTGCACGTCGTTCTATCTTTATTTTATCTCTTTCTGTCTTTCCTTCTTCATCCCTTTGAACCCAACCCAGGAAAGAGAGAGTGTGTGTGTGTGTGCTGGCCGTTTCACTGCTCGGTGGACACCTTCGCGCTTCGGCTTCACTTCACGGGGTTTGTTTTGTGTTTCTCTGTTTGCTTGTGTTGCTGCTTTGATTGACCGCACCCATTCCGCAGGCTGCGTGTTGTGTGTGTATTTGTCCGTGTGCTCTCCGGCGTGTCATGTTTCCTCTTCTCTTTTTTTCTTTCTTCCTTGCCGCATCGTAGATCAGCCCAGTGATCCCAGCGACTTTGCTACCACCAACACCACGACGGATGGCGATGGCGACAGTGCGGCGCCGTGCGGTGTATGCCCTGGCGGTGCTTGCGCTGCTGTGCGGCTGCTGCTCCTCCGTGTGCAGGGCGACGTCATCGGAATTTGATGCAGTGGATGTGTCGTGTCAGAACCATGAAGGAAAATTAAGCTGGCGTGTTTCTGGCGAGAACAATTGGACGGAGTGTTTGCAGACGATGAATTATTATGGGCCC